ATTTTTAAAACCATCTATGGAAACTACTTTTATGTGCTCTAATGGCAGGTCAGACATGTTTAAAAAGCGGAATAACAGAAATTCAGGAAAAATTATCTGAGAGTCGGGAAGTGTTTCCATATTTGATGTTGAGGATTGCTCATCAGCTAACGATTACTAATTTTTATTTGTACGCAAGACGAAGAGTGATGAAAAATAACACATTTTTTGCTACTACATAATATTTTTCAGTCATTTATATGAATATAATGTAATAAAAGGGAGGAGTTTGGGAACCATTAGTGAAATTGCCTGCGTAACGGATATAGTGAACTCCCGGTTATAGTGAACCGAAATTTCGGTATCTTGAAGGTTCACTATAGCGGGGTTTGACTGTATATACATAAAATGATTTAAAAAAATTTATAACTGCAATTACTTTATTCAATTAATAAATGAGTTGAAATTTAAGAAAATGAAGGAGAAAAAAAATTAAGATTTTCCCTACAAGAGCTAGTTCAGATAAAAAAAAATTATATGCTATAAAAAAAAATTCGTTAACAATGATAATTAATAAAATAATAAAAAAAAATGATAATTAATCTTTTCTCAAAAAAAAGATTTTTTTTTTTTTGAAGAAAGACGGGGGAAAAAACATCATTGATCACTTCTTTAAAAGAAAAAGATCTTCAATAACATAAATTTTAATAATATATTAAAATTCCTCATATTTAACTGATTTGCATTTTAATGATTTATATTTAAAATCAACTAAGATATAGTTTGTTTAAAATTTGTCAAGATGACATTATTATTTAACAACAATTAATTTTATCAACTACATACAAAAAAACAAAAGATTCATAAGTCATGCATAAAAATGAAGCTAAAAATATTTACCCTAAACCCTCCAAAGTAGGTGCGGGAAAATCCAAATATAAACTATCAGGATTTCTTAAATATGGACGATCAACATGAATTGAGTTACACATTTGAGTGCCAGCAATCTGAATAATTTTACTGATATTACTCTGATTTATATAACCATAAAGTGGATACTCTGACACAGGCTTTTGTTCAGGTGTGCTAACAGATGATGTAGTGCTCAGAGATGAAGAATTTATGGTCACACTCTTTTCAATATTTTCTAATAAACTCACAAAAAATTCATACTTTTGTCCTAAAAATAAATTGCATAATTAAACCTAAGTTTCAAAAAACGAAAGCACAAAGTCAAAATTTACAATAAATATATATAATAGTACTAAAAATTACACAGAAGTGTCAATGCTAAAACTGAATATCATCGTCTATGCAAAATCCAGGATAATGATAAATAAAACTTATAGCAGATCCTCCAATAGGGAAGTGCGAATCAAAAAGCACTTTTCACCCAAACCACTGTTAGTTTAATGTCTTATTTACTTCGTTATTTGCTTCATCACTTTTTTTTGGTATTTTGCATTGATAATGTTCCAGTGTAGCTAGTTTGTATGTTATTTTAACAACTGAAATATAATGATTTAAAATTTTCAATGCTGTGCTTTTATCGTTTAAAACCATCTTCATAAAGAAATATTTTTTTTAAAAAAATATGAGTAGTTAAAATTACATAGAAGCTTTAAGCTAAAACTGAACATCACCATCATGTGAAATACAGTAAAATGATAAAGAAAAAAAATTATAAATAAAACTAATAGTGGATCCTCCAATAAAAAAATGGAGTTAAAAAGCATGAGAGAAATCTTTTCCCCAGACCCACTGTTACTTTTATATCTTATTTACTTCATTAGTTACTTCATCGCCAGCTTTTTGTATTTTGCATTGGTAAGGTTCCAATGTAACATTCAAGTTTGTATGTTATTTTAACAACTGAAATATATTGATTTGAAATTTTTTATGCTGTGCTTTTATCTTTTAAAATTATCTTCATAAAATTTTATTCTTTTTAATAAAAATATGAGTTTACAGGTAATGAAATACATTAAAAATGGAAAAAATACTCTAAAATTTATATGTTTAGATTTAAAAACATGCAATATACAATGAATATCTTACCATAAATGCGTAAACTAACTAGAGTTCCATCTGAGATGACATATGATGCATCAAGGGGATCATCACTTTTAAAAGCCCAATTGTGAAAGTTTGCAGATAATATTTCATCAGTCACCTTTGGAGGCTGAAAAAATAAGAAATACTAATCTTATTTTCTTTTCATATAAATAAATATTAAAACGAAATAAGGCTATAATACATGGAAATAATAATTACAAAATATTTATACAAAAACACAAATCAGAACATAATAAAATTAAAACCATTTTTCGTGCTAGGCATTACAAACACAGTTTTACACTTGTTGTTGCATCGATTGTGATGTTTGTTTTTGTTTGTCTTTCTGTTTTGTTGATGTTTTTGTTTTTTTTCCCTTTTAATGTAACAGGTTCTAAACTGAATTTTCTGCCAAAGTTTACATTTTTTTTAAAAAATATATAATGAAATGAAATGTATTTTTAACTTCATGAAAGTCAAAAAGGATTTTTATTAAAATTTTCATAAATTTTCAATATTTCTTGAATACATTAATACATCGATAAAACACAAAGTATAAGATTTCTGATATCAAAATTTAAAATTTTATTTTTTGAAGTCATGTCTCATTTTAAATATTAGAAATATGCATAAATCTAACTTATTCAGATCATTTTTTTTGAAAAATTAATTTATTTAATCATAGAGTAACAAAGCTTTAATAACTCTAATTAACTGTAATATAATTTAATTTTTTCTAAAGCACTGATAGAAGAAAAAAAATTTTTTTTACACTTATAGTTATATCAACTGTGTGAATCTTTTATCTTTTTCTCTTTTTTTTTTTTTGAGGGCATTGTAGATATGAATAGAGTGCAACAAATAATGTAAAATTTCGATTGTATACTACTTTATATAGGGTTAAAAATATTTTCTCAAGCTTAATTGACTCGTACAATATACAAGTTTGCAGAATTAATTCGTGAGACTTCTATCTCATAAGATTTGTAAATTATTAAGTTTTTAGTAAAAAACACATTGCAGGTATCAAAACAATTTGATGAAAAATAATTATTTGGGTACCATGTACCAAAGTTTTAAATACCACCAAATATTTTCTTCACATTTAGTTATTGCGTTTATTCTTTAAAAAGTATGTCATCTGTCATAGCTCAGTAAATTTCGCATTACTTTCAGAATACCCTGTTAATTAGATACATGAACTAAATATTTCGATACATAACATTTTCAACTATATTGAATGCCTATCAAAATTTAAAAATTATATTTCAATTAATCCACAAGTTTTTCAATAAGATTGACATAATGATACAAAACTTTTCTATTAAAAAATTTAATTTTGCCGTAATAAATTTATCAGTAAAATTTCTGACTCTTCTGACTAAGGCTAATAGAGGAAAATTTAAAAAAACATCAATAATCATTAATAAATAATGCACTGAGAGGATATAAAGTAAAGACATTTTGAAAAAATTAAGTATAGTTATAAAAAAAAAACACCTACCAAACTACCTACAGGATGTAAAACTATTTTATTCAAACAAATAGGACTGCTCTGAACTCCCTGCACTCGAACCAGCGATGCAACTTCTAAATTAAGACACTTTTTCAACTCTCTTGGAACAACTATCAAATTTCTAGAATAAAATAAACTCAAAGGCAAATTGAACTCATCCTCTTCAGAAGATTTCACAACCATAACTGTGACTGTCACAGAATTGAAAGGGGGTGGCCGTTCCTCCGCCGTAGGTATCACACTAGATTTACTTCTTTTCTTCTCTAAAGGCTTACTGGGCTCACTGGAAGGTCCATCTTTAGCATCTTTAGACAACTTCTGTTGAGCACCTTTGCTCTTATCTTTCCTGCTCTCGGGAGAAGGATACTTTTGCAAAATGGCGACAAAGCAAGGAGGGATTTCTTCGTCATTACCGCAGAGTTCAATGTAGGTAGAGGCACAGATAAAAACCGTCGTAGCTCGAACAGCAATGGGCAGCACCTGAGAATCGGATCTTTTATATGGTATCACTCGCAGAACTCCTTCAAGATTCAGTGACTCAAAATCTTCTTCAGACCTTTCTGTTTTTTCTTCAATAGGAGACGAAAAAAAAGAAGAAAAAAGTGAAAGAGCTCTTACAGCAGCGGAAAGGTTCTTAGTTTCAAAGTCATAAGAATTGGTATCACTGTTACCATTCTCTCTGGTAGGATCAAAGTAGTGTGATTTAGGAGTGGAATATTTGCTTTTACGAAGATGCATGAATTGAGAATAAGGAGATGACTTTCTAGTGGACTTTTCAGATTCAGGCGATTTTAGAAACTCAGTGGACTTTCTTTCCTTAGGTACAATATGTAACTCTGTGAATTCTGCTAACAAAAGCGGCTGAGATAAAGGATTGGTTTGAGCTAAAATATATAAAAATATGTTAAATTTTTAAAAATAATAATATAAAAGTTTAAAAAAAAATATTTTAATTTGTGAATAAAATAAATGCTAATTAATGTAATAAAACAACTCAAACTACTTTGGATACCTAATATTCGTAAATTGATTAAATGATAAATGTTGCTAAATATTACAAAACAATTTAAGTGTGAAACTGTTAAGTGTATAAGTTATTAAAAAAATAAATTATAACAATTTTACAAATGTTATATTTTAAAAATAATATCATATAATTTAAACAAAAATATTTAAGTTGTGAATAAAATAAATGCTAATCAATGTTATAAAACAACTCAAATTACTTTGGATATAATGTAGTTAAAGTGTTTAAGCAATAAATATTGTTAAATACTACAAAATAACTTACGTGTAAAACTGTTATGTGTATAAGTTATTAAAAAAACAAATGATGACAATTTTACAAATGTTAGATTTTAAAAATAATATTGTATAATTTTAACAAAAATATTTAAGTTGTAAACGTGACAAATGCTAATCAATGTCATAAAACAACTGAAATTAATTTGGATAATGTTAGTAAATTGTTTTAATAATAAATGTTGTTAAATATTACAAAAAAAAAACACTTAAGTGCAATTTTGTTATGTGTATAAGTTATTAACTAAATAAATGCTTACAATGTTACAAAACTACTTACTTTATTTTTAATGTTATTTGTAAGTTATTTAGAAAGTAAATGTTTCAAAACAACTGAAGGAATTTTGTATTATATTTAGACTTCTTCAATTAAAAAAAAAGCATCTTGCAATGTTTGAAAAATGTTGATCAAACAGACTCTTAAGTAAGAGAATGTAAATCTATTAAAAAAACTGTAAATTATTTGCCATAATGTAGCATCTAAATTTGAATATTTAAATTGAAATAATAAGTTAAATATTTTTAAAATTTTTTAATAGTTAAATATTTTTCAAAATGAAAGAATGGAAATTATGTAAGAATATACATTTCAATTTAAAATGTGTACAAATAATATATTATTACAATGAAGAAAATACCATGCTTATTTTAATACATTTGTCAGGAAATGTATTCCTATTTACAATTTTGCAATATCTACTATTAATATTTATTAAAAATAAAGAAGTTGAAGAAAAAGAAAATTAGTCAATTGAATAACTATTATCCAAATTTTTACATTCTTATTGAAAACATCATATTAAAAAAACATTTTTAAAATTCACACTCATTACAATTTGGCTAAATTTCAACTGATTCAACTGATGTTTATTTTTTTTAAATCTACAAGGCCAGAAAAAAAAGGAATATAAATGCATTTAATTTCATCCCAGATTTATTGTAGCATTTAAATTCTAAATTCTTCAAATTTTAACTAAAAATAATTGCTTTAAATTAACTGCAAAAATGGTAAAATGTACATAACATAAATTGGAATATGTTGCTTTCTTTAAAAACGTTACGTTAAAAAAAAATTATTATCTTGTGCAGATAGTACTTCAAGCACTAGAAATTAGTTTTATGACTTGAAACACATCAATTTTAGCAGGAAAATTGCTCTCAATATTGTTTTCTGGACTAGCTTTAAAATTGAGTAAAAAGAATGTTTGAATTTTTGTATTTATAGTTATCAGAAGTTTGTAGAAAACTTAACTTGAAAGGCATCTCTAATATTCAAACTTGTGACTAATTTAGTTTTTGACTTACAATCTGTTCAAATGATATACAATTATACAAATTTCTAATATTTAAAAATAAATTTTAAAAAAATTATGCTTATTTGGTACTAAAATTCAGGTACATTCATAAAAAATAAAATCTTACCAATTTTAACAAATATAGAAGTGTTATTCACCCATATTGGGAAAACCTGGCCTTTCCAAACAATACGAATCTGATTCATCAAATCTCTTTCAATAATCTTTGCATTTAATTCCTATGAAAGTGATAAAAAATTATGAGTTTTTGATGACTCATTCAAAACCTAAACTTTATATAAATAAGATGTGGTAACATACATAAAGCAACATATGCATACGGATACATTGCTTTAACATTATACGTTTTCGTACATCCTCACTATTTAAATTTTAAAAATGCATTATCAAACTTGTTTTAGTAAAAATACAGAATACTTTTCACCCACCAATATTTCCCAATCATCTGCAGTCAATGGCTCTATCATAACTTCTTGAACATTAGAAGGGCATGTGTTTAATGGTTGAAGAAATACCTAAAATTATTGAAAAAAGAACTTAGTATCACAACAAAATAACTAATATTAATGAGCAGGGCAAAATTTTTATGCTATTTAACATATGTGCATACAATGTGATTTAACTTTTAATATTTTATTCAGAAGAGACCACTGACGTTCAAAATTGCAAAAACTGCAATTTTAAAAGCCAAATATTGGCTTTTTTTTTTGTAAAATTACCTATACATTAATTCTGATAAAACTGAAACAAATAATCAATTCACTTCCAAACTCTTAAACATTACTGAGAAACATTTGCAGATAATTCTAAATGTTATGAAAAATCAACAGAAAATCTTTTGCGATATTTTTTATGCCTCAGTTAATATTTGTATATTTAATAGTATTATTTTTTGAAATTATGCCAACAAAAAAAACATGGTATACAGAAACAATTTCTTCCTATCTATCTTAACTCTTAGTGTGGATACATCTGAAGTGTTGAGAAAGAAAATAAGATCTTACATTATACAATAATACCTTGTTGACAATAGGGTGTCTAAAAAGATTGGTTTCAATACCGATTTTTATAGCCTGTTTAATCTTGCTAAATAAATAATGAAAAGACAGAGAAAAATGTATTTATATTAATCCATTTTAACAAGAACACTTGTTTCAAAGTTTTGAATGAATCAAAATATAATAATCTATACCATTACGATATTATTTTATTTTCACTTTTATGAATTTTATTATTGGTGGAATAGTAGCATAAACATTTTGGAGCAGAAAAAATGGATTTGAAGCAAATAAATTTGATTTTTGGAGCAGATTGGAGCAAAAACTCTCTTGATTCAAGGAAGCATAGTGTTTGCAAAATTATATTTTTGAGCATAATTGAGAATGTAAATTACTATTTTATATCATATTTCACAGAGCTTGGAAAAATGCATAATTGATTAAGAAAAGTATAATAGAAATGCAACAAAGAATTACTCTTTTATAATTTATTTTTGCAAGCGTTTATCTAATTTAAATAAATATGCATTTTAAATAATTAGAGAAGAGAAATAAGCCAATATTTGAAACTAAATAAAATTCCCATTTTAAACTTATTTACCACCACCAATAAGAAAAACATATTATCATTAATAATATATAAGATTATTAATCCAGAGATAATTCTAGGTGGCGAGCCGCATCGCCCTGATTGCCTTTTTTTGTTCATTTCTACATGGTTTTGTAAATTACGATATCTTTAATAGGATGGTATTATTTGAATTTCAGTAATCACTTCTTTAATTGCAGGATTCCCTCAATTATATGCTCATAAATCCATTTCTTTTTCCAATCGTTTTTCTTATATATATTTTATATGGTTTCTCACATTTTCATATTTTTAATTACTTATGACACACAATGTTATTAACTCAATCGAACTTTGCATTTCAATAATGACTATTTGTTAAGGATTTGTTTGAAATCCACTTTTTGACATGCCTGATTTCATTGTCATTTTTGGCCATTTAAACATGTTATTCCAATTTCAAAATTTTAAACACTACATTATTAATACACAATAGTCAAATTCTGCATTTCTAGAGTCACATTCTATAAAAACAGGTCCTAAATGAAAATACTAATTCTATAGCTCTTTATCCATCGATCAATATGCACATTCACAATTTTTCTGGCTATTGATAGGAAAAACAAAAATTTCAAAACAAGAGTTTGTATAATTAAGGCTTTTAATTAGAAATGAAAAAACGCCTGCATCAAGTATAAGTAAAAGTGTAATTTAATATGATAGAAAAAAAATTAAAAAAAGATAGAAAAAGAGATTGATAAAAAAGATTTTAGTTCAAATGCATTTAAAGTTTAAATATAATTCCACTTACATAATCTATTAGCACACTATTTTTTTTTTCAGAGTTGGAGAATTACGTGTCCTAAGAGATGCGTCATAGCTTATTGTTCATGTTCTCCCAATGATTTTTTGTGTATTACAACGCTTAAGCGCAATTACTGAACAAATGAATTTTATTATTTTAGTAATAACATTTTGACATGCTCTAATCGATGGGGAGAAAAAACACCTAACTAAACATGTTAATCAAAATTTTGATGAAAAATGAAATTTTTAGCTGTTTTGGAGCAACAAACCTGATTTTTTCACACAATTGTGACACTAAATTGGGCCAAAGTCATGCTTTCTGTTCTATGAGTATTATTAAAGTTTTTGAGCAAATTTGGAAAAAATAGCATTTGGTGCAAAAGCTTTGTTTCGGAGTAGTTTGAGTAGCTATTCCAACCTTGCAAATTACTTTTGGAAATAAACAGAAAATTTTCAGAAAATATTATTGCCTATCCATTTCCCATCATTTCTGGATCAAATGTAATTAAATTAAAAAATATGAAAAAATGAAAAAAAAAACGGTTATAAAATCTGAAATAAATAAGACATTTTAATATGATATTACAACATATAAACTTTACACAAAATGTCACAGTTATTAAAATACACAAAATTTCATAAGAGAAAAAAGAAACAGAAAAAAATATACCTTTTCCTTCTCTTTAAGCTCTAATTTTTCAGCAAATTTAGCATTAATTAAAATATATGGATTTGGATCTATCATTAGCTTAGTAGGCAAGCAAGAAATATATGCTTCTTTATTTTCACCATAAAGAAGCTTGAAGGCTTTTATATCCTAAAGATAATAACACAAACAATATTAAAATAACAGAAAATTTCAAATTTATATTGGAATTAAATTAAAAATAAGTTTACAATGTTTTTTTTTCAAATGCCAATAATAATAAAATAAAATAAAGGTATAAATATTTGAGTGATTTGTTAAATAATATAGGTCTGGGTATAAAATTTAGTTTTTAGCATTATTTTGAAGCATGAATATTGATTCAACTTTAATAAACATGCAAATGAGTCTCAATTTTCATAGCTACCTTTTCATACAAATGTTAACTCCAGTCCTGTTTCTTCCTTTCATTTTTTTTTTTTTAAATTTTCCAAAATAAAGTTTTTTGATAAATTGCAAGGGAACACTTGATACTATTAGTAGAAAATTTTGTCAAAATATTTTTTTAAAAAATAAATAATAAAAAAAAAACTTATTTGACTCTTAAAAAAGCTAAAAAAAAAATTTTATAATATTCATTTGCATTTTGTTAATAGAATAGTTTTTAATAGTTTATTTTCATGCAATTTGAATGAGTATTAATGTTATGAAAATTAGTAAATGGCATAAATATTCCAGTCACTTATATTTTGTTGTTACCAACTTGGTATAATATGTCCATTTCGCTACATTTGTGTAGTATAATCATAGTGAATATTTAACTTTTAAGTTTAATTGAATATTAAACCACTAACTGAAAGAACTTCCAGTTTTTGCATCAACATAGCTATTTTTTAATTCACATAGTCAACATGTATGTCTATTTCAGTTTGTTATCTCAGCATCGTTAAAGCAACTGGCTTCTTCTCTTTCAATCAGTGGAACATTATCGTTCTGATATTTTCCCAAGTGAGTAAATTTCCCCTTTGAATGCTAAAGCAGAATTTTTTAAGCCGTTCCAAGATTAGGATATAGATTTTATATCTTTTATGGCTTTCCAGAATTAAATAGTACTGTAAATATTTTCAAGAAATATAATTATGACTTGCCAATAATTTTTAATTGGGGGCCCTCTATTATGTATGGGGACTTAAAAATAAACCAATGCATACAAAAATAAAACAAGAACCAATCACATAACTGTAAACAAAAGTTGAGGTAACCTGTAGGTAAAAGCAAAAGCAACGAAGAATATCATGGCAACCAGAAATGGGATTTCAGTAAAACTGACCGTAAATAATATCCAAAAGAAAGGGACCCCGAATTCTGTATCTCAACCATACATACATATTTTCGTAAAATATTTAAATATTTTCTTATTTTACCATTTTTTTGTGTTGATTTTTTAACATAATTTTGAAATTTCACAAATTATGCCTAAATTTTCACAAAATAGGTACCTTTCAAAAAAACCTAGACTGACCCCTGGTTATTATTAATTAAAAAAATAATATGTACAGTGGAAATCGGGTTTTGTGCTCCATTCCCGCCAAGAAAGGGATAAGTATATTAGAAAATTGCTTAATTGTGATAAATTGCTAGATTTCGGTTTTAATTGGCACAAAGAAGTGATATTCAGCTAGTTGATATTAAAGCAAGCTTGACTGATAAAAATATATTATTAAAATGAAAATTTTTAAATATAAAATACTAATTGTTCATCTGTTCACAAATAGTGATAGGCTGCAATATTAAAATATATAAAAAACAAGCATCATCAGTGCTGACATTAAAAAAAAAACAAAGGAAATATGCAGACGCCTACACTATTAACCAAGTTGCAATTAGAATTTAATTTGGATAGAATTTACCATAAAAAAAATATTACTGATGATATGTATCAAGACAATTATTTAATTTTTTTAAACGATTTTATTATTATGTGCTTACAAGGGCTATTGTGCCAATGAGTCTAGTGTAAAATTCAATGGGGAAAAAGTCTGAATTGACTTTCATAATAAATTCGTTAGTTCATGAATTTTAATATGAGAGGGAAATACATTTAATTGGAATTTAAAATATTATAAGATAAAAATCTAATACAAATTTCCCATTTTTTAACTCTCTAAGCATTAGTCTCGACTTTTACAAATTTTCCTTTGTAGATTTTCTAACATAAAAAGACTAGTTTTTTCTGGCTTAAAACTGGTTCAGAAAGAAAGAAATGCAAACCATGGTATTTTCAGCAAATTTTGCATCGGTGGCCTAAGCACGATTAAATTTTACATAGTATTTTAAACAAATATTAACATGTTATTTCCAAAAGAATTATAATAACTTTGTTAAACTTAAACTATCGTAAAATGCTTCACATATATTTAAGATTATAGAAAATTTAAATGCTCTACACTTACATATTTACAATTAGTTAACCAATCCTCAGGAATATAGACAAAGCATCCTTTTTTAGATGAGAATTTGACAGTAGCTGAAAAATTCATTTTCTTACATCGGTTCAACTTTTCTGAAAGAATAAAAATATGCAATGCACAAAATCAATATACAAATTTTCACATCTTTTACTTTAGCACAAAGGAGCATAACCAATAAAATGTAAGAGATCATAACATTTTACTAAATACATTTAAAAGGTTGGTCAAAACAATTCATTTTTAGGCATTAATATAAATAACAATAGCCTAACATAATTAAGTAATTATGTAACTAAAAGTAATACAACATATTTAGGCATTAATGCTACACAAAAGCCTACTTTCAAGACAGTTTTTAATGAACACTTTTCAACCATATCAACATTTTTATATCATGATTATGATAAGTTTGTGCTTGTCGTAAAAATGCTTTAACAGACACAAAAGAGCTTTTCAAATATATTTAATCATACAATTGAAGTATTTATGTCTGTGGTAAAATATTTTGATATTCTAAACTAAACTGAAAACAAAACAAAACAGAAAACTTTTAAATGCAAAAACGTAATTAGTAAATCACAAATTAAAAAAGAACAATTGTATAAAAATAAATAGAACTTATTTTCTAATAATTAACTTTTCATTACTCAATGAGATCGTATCACAATACTTACTTTCATCAAAAATACTAACAAAAAAACTCTAACACATAAAATTGACGTTTAAGCAAAAATAAATGTTAACACTAGCTTATGAACATTGGATTAAGTATTTAATAAATCAATTTCATATCTCATTACAATTTAGTGATTTAGAAAAATTTAATAAGAATGTAAATAAGAAAATGAAAACAACACAAGATAAAAGGCAAGTTTAGTTAAATTATTAAATCTTGGAAGAAAATATTTACGCTTTCACCTAAATTAAATACAATAGAAAGTACACAAATGGTATAGTAAAAGCGTCATTTTTACTGCATACAAATTTGGAGATGTAAATGAGTATTTGATTGGTGAGTTTTCCAAAGGTAAATATATTACACCAATCAGATCCTCAGTTATTCCTCTATTAATTCGTATCGTAATTCATTTAAGTATACACTTTTAGTTTAACTTATTTTATAATATAAGTATACTGACATAATTCAAGAAAACTTGATGAAAAGTATTTATATGTTTGAAAAGATATTTAAGTAAAAATTTATGAAGAAGGAACTTGAAAACTTTATGAAGATAGCAGAATTTTCTGAACCAATTCGCGATTGCAACGCTCGAGTACGCCGTCTAGCGGGAGCCTGTAAACGTCAGACATTAATTTATCACTTTTTCATTTAGTTCCATCAAAATCATTGACTGAATAAGACGCCATTTTTTAGCAGCAAATAAGAAACAAAATTTCCCTAAGGAAAAGGCCGAAGAACTTGAAAAAAATCCTCCAGAATATTAGTAAATCTTTCAGGAACAGAACACGCCAAACATTTGAAGAAAAATTCCTCGATAATTTTTAATTTCTATTATCAACAAACTTGCAACTGATGACTTCCGATTTCGGATACTGTTACAGATGTGTGTATTAAGGTAAAATGCATTTCTTCTGTCTTCAATTCATTACGAATTAAAGTGAAGTCAACATTGCTTTCGTCATNAAAGAAGGAACGTTGCAATGCTACGTGCTACATTAACGACGTCTCTAGAGTAACTGAATGACTTTTCATATAGAAATCGCAGGTATTAGTCTCATACAACAACGCCCCCTATAGTTCGTTGCGATCGCGAATTTGCAACACCATCTTCAGAAACCAAAACTTGCATGTGACCCAAATGCAAATAACTGAAAACTAATATTGAAAAATTTAGGCTTATCCAAACTTAAAACAAAATTTGAATTTGTAAAAAATAGATAAAAGTAAAAATGGTATAAAACAATAATTAAAGCACCTAAATAACTAAAGAGAAGGAAATTGATACCAAGTTGAATATTTTTCCAATAGATACCTCAAAGGTACATAACTTCAGATAAAACTTTTTCAAACAATTACTTTAAAATATTGGTTTATTTTAACGTGCAGACAATAAAATTTTCACATATAAACATAGGTAAAAAAAAAAAAACTTCACACAAAAATCACTTTTTAAATTTAATTTTACACTTGCATAGCATTTTTAAAATTTATTTAAAAAATTTAACTTTTATTTCAAATAAAGACTTTCTTTAAAATATGTTTCACCCCCTATGATACATTTTAGTAAATAAAACTGTACCAAAGCTCATACTTTTTCTGCTAACTGAAATTTCTGCAATTGCGTTCGAAACAACTGCTAACAGGCTGTCTGAGGAATTACTTTGTGCACCAAATTTCAATAGGGGGATAGATGATTCCTTTTTCTTCAGCAACGATGATCGCAAAAAAAAAACTCTTTGCTTTTTCACTTATCTATACTTTATTCAGTAAATTTATTTACTTTAAAAAAGAAAAAAAGTGTGCATTGTCTTACTAATTGTTAGTTGAATTTTTCTTACTATTTAATTTGTCTTATTAGCTAATTATTATCATTATTAATTTTATTATTATTATTAGATCAAAAAATAATCGTCAGATGGTGTGATGGTGTTTAGGCTAAGGAATACATTGAAGAAATATGAAAACTTCGTTTTGTCAGGATTACATAATCGTAAAATATCACTGACAATGAGTTGTTTTGTAATGGGTATTTGAATATTGTCAGCCATAAGTAGAATATTGGTTAAATTTCAAACAAATACGAAATAGAGATAAATGAAGGATGAAAATAGCTGGTTAAAGGAAACTAATAAAATTATGAGCAAGGTGATCATTAAAAGATTAGTAGAATGCGTATTGAAACACAATTACCCAACAGGCTCAGTTGTCCTTTCAGGATAAGATTGAGTGATTTGGTACCACGGAAATTTAAAATAAGGTAAAGTAATAAATAATCTTTAATTAAACTAAAAGAGTTTTTGGTGATAAAACTCAAATGACCCACACTATCTAACATAGAAACTTAACGTACTTAAAGTTGAAAAGAAACAATGTTCCAATTTATTCAGAAAAAGATTACATAAATAAAATAAAATAAAACTATAATCACAATAATGTCTAGTCATATAAGGAAATTACGACAGTTATTATATATAATTATTTTGTTTTATTTGTTACGTAGATACAGAGCTATAACTTCTACAAAATAGCTTTTGAAAGTAAACCATATATTTAAAAAAAAAAAAAAAATTTTAACGCATTGAACAGAAATGCGTGTCTAGATTTACTCATTGAGAATTTTTCTCGATCTCAAATAGGCAACACATTACAATTCGAATTATGAAAACTTAGCAAGTTTAGCAAACTACAATAATCAAGAGAAACAAAAAAAATTATAGTATAGAACAAAAGATTTACAAGACAAGTTTAATAAAAAAAAAATTATCATTTAATCGCCTGAAAAATTATTTATAGGAATAAGATTTAAAGACTAAAATGTTACAGTAAAATAAATTTTTATAGTAAGTATGTAAGTATATGAAATAATATATATATAATATATCACCACTGGCAACCACTAAATTTTGTGTCTTCGTCTGACGAATTAAATAAACTAGCAATGATGGCTGATAAAATTGCCGATGTGTCAAATTCAAATGAAATTCACTCTGCTACGGTAAGATCGACACTGCAGTCTGAAAACAAAATTGTTCGTTTATCTGACACTATAATTACCATGCAAACTCAAATTAATGAACTGAGTAAAAAACTAGATAAAGCATTGAGATTTCGTAGTCGTAGCCAAAACAGGGATGAATACAAAAGTCGGGATCGCTTTAACAGCAAAACACGGATGTGTTGGTATCACTTTCGATTTAGAGACAGGGCAAGAAAATGCATTCCTCCTTGTAGTTTTAAGCCGGAAAACTAGGATGCCAGACGTCGCTGGTGGCAGGCGTTTATGGCAAAGAAAATAAATGCCGCTTAATCATCTCTGAGAAGACATTAGGTCTTAAATTTCTTGTAGATACAGGTGCAGATATATCCGTCCTACCACCATCTGTTGCAGAACGTAAAAAACAAGAGTCAATTTTAAATTTAGTAGCTGCTAATGGATCCAAAATTCCTGTTTATGGAAAACGTTCTTTAACTGTTGACATAGGTTTACGTCGTCTTTTTAAATGGACTTTTACAGTAGCTGATGTTTCCAGACCTATTTTGGGAGCAGATTTTTTGTCAAATTACGATATACTTGTCGATTTAAAGCGAAAATGTTTGATTGACAGATTAACATCAGTTTCCACTAGAGGTAAAATAAAAACTGACAGTTTACCTAGTATAACTACTTTAAAATCTTCTTTTGAACTTGATAGCGTCATCAAAAAATACAATACCGTATTTGATGATATTGAATATACGCCAAACCAAACTCAAACTCACGATAACACTCATGTTATTGAGACTAAAGGACCTCCTGTGGCAGCTAAGGCTAGACGATTATCTGCTGACAAGCTAGAAGCAGCTAAAGCTGAATTTTCTGTTTTGGTCCAGAAAGGGATTTGCAGCCCTTCTAATAGTTGTTGGAGTAGTCCTCTACATTTAGTTAAAAAATCAGATGGATCTTGGAGACCTTGTGGGGATTTTCGGGCATTAANAGGATAGTCGCTGGGAGAGGTGCAGTCTCCACCTGGAAAATATGATCCCCATATTTTAGGTACGAAAGCGATGGAACTTTTTAATGTTATTTTCACTTTTTGAAGCTTTCGATATAATTGAAGATTTTTTTTCACCTAATAGGAAAATTTTGGCATACAATCATTAAATTTTTGTACTCTGTAAAAAAAATTATTCCAATAATCATTTATTTTTTTAATTAAATAAGAGTAAAAAAAAACTTTAAATTGTAAGGTGTACAAATCAATACATCATTTCAAACCATGAATATTAAATGATAAGATACGAAATTTGAGCAAAATCGCTCGAATAGATTCTGAATTACAGAATTTTTAAAAATTTGTACATTTGAAATTTGATTTGCCTAGAACTATTCTAATTTCGTTTAAATTTTGTATTTCATCATTCTAAATTACAAGTTTTAAAATTATATAAAAATATGTGTATCTTACAATGCAAAAAAATTTCAGCTATTATTAAGCAAAATAATAAAATATTTCAAATAATTATTAAAAATTATTTTTTGAATGGAAATATTTTCGCATGTATGAATTTTATAATTGTTTGAAAATATATTTTAATTGGCTTTGAAAGTTCTTGAGACATAGCGAAAGATTAAAAATGTTGCTTAAAATTTATAACTTTCTGTCGCTGTCCAGTCTAGGCTATTGGCATTATATTTTCCAGATATTTTTCCATCATATTTGAGGGTCAGAAATTGAAATCCGTCGAATAAAAATCATATTTATTTAAGGAAAGAACGTTTTTCTTATGTCAGATTCTGTAGCTTAAAATATCGTTTGCATTAATTAATACATTTATGGTCAGGTCCCCGAACTATGAAGATTGATTAAGAAAAAATCAAAT